TCTTTTAACAGCCTTTGGATAGTTAAATGCATTACAGCTACAGTATGACTCTGATTTCTCCCTAATGCCATTTATGTTTTCTAGAATTATGCTAAGTGAAGAACAAAGTACACTGTGTTATTCCCATTTATTACAACCATGTCCATAATTTACAAGCTGATTATGCAAGTCTCATACAAGAGAAACCAGAGAATAGTTAACCACTGTCAAAGAATGGTGAGCCAGCATACATTCTGTCAACCACATTTTCTTACATAGTTACCTAAAAAGGAGCATCAAGATCTACAAATTCACTACAATGGGAACTAATCTTGAAAAGGAGGATTCTAAGATGATGATAGGGAACAACCAGGTATCCTAAGTAACTGACAGTTCAGTGGGAAAGAACTAAAAACAATGAAAAAGAAATATCAACATGGAGGCAATGTGGTTTGCTACATGCTGTCCTTAACAAAATGTAAGTTAAGAGATTTCTAGATTGAAAATATCAATTTACTAATAATAATTTTCCTTTTGATGACACATTATTTGCTGTTGCTCTGAATTAAAAATGTATTTAGCAGCAAGCCAACAGGATGCCAACTAGTCTCATTTGGGTAAAAAAAAAGCAAAATATGTCTCTTTATCTGGATTTCCAGAAATACTAAAATTTCAGAATTTACTTCAAATATTTCTGGTTGCACATAATAACAAAGCTGAGTCTATTACAGAAATACCAATTATTTCTAGATAAATGCATTTCACAGTACATCTATTTTTCCAAGATACTGTATTATAGCAAAACCACCTCACAAAAAAAGCAGTTTTCATTCTGATAGCACAAGTACACTGTGCTACACACTGTGCTACACAAAGGTAAAGCTAAAATTTTAATACCATTAAAAATGACCAATGTTAACACCTGGCAAAAGTTACCTAAAGGATTTTTGTTTTTTTTTCCAATTTGTAAAACTCCTTTTAGGTGAAAAAAAAACTTAAARATATTAAATAAATACATATTAATTTCTCACTATGTGCCAGGCACTAAACCTGAAAGTAATAACCTCATTTATTCAGTATCTGATGTCAAATGACCACACTGAATCTATAACATTAAAGTATCACAAAACTCTAAACCTTCAAAACACCTACACACATGCACACACTTCCTCCCCCTTGCCAGGCTTTTATACAATGTAAGACAGGGGACCAGAGATCATTGACTCAGTAATTCATGTCATTCCATGACCACTCTTAACACCTGAGAAATTTAAAAAAAAAAAAACCCTTGATTCCTATCTTTATTCTGTTACTTTTTGACCTCAAATACTTAACTTGTAACACCTGGAACCAAAAATTATACACTGAGAAATGTAACTCATGTAAATGTTCTCTGTAATGAATAATGAACTTGAAAAATACATCTCTAACATTTACCTTTCAAAAACTCAAAATTATTTATTTTTACAGAAAATTTTCTAAACTAGAATATGATATCTGTGAGATATGTACATTGATTAAAACAGTATAAGCAAATTACACTTGAAAAACACAATTTATTAATTTTTCTTTTTCCTTTTTTTCATTCTTCTAGATAAGCTAAATATCTGGTATCAATATTTAGCTGCTCTTAGCAAATGATCATACATTTATGCAAAAATGAGGCATTAAAACAATTTTTTTCTAATGGGAGAATATAAAAATGTTTTTCATTAACATTACATGAAAGAGTCCAAGCATGTTTCTATGATTTGTAGCATAAAGCATTTCATGGTGAATAAATTTCACAATTTGTCTATGTTACTTAGTCCTAAAAGGTAATTTAATTTTTTTTTGTTCCTAGAAAGTAGAATTAAGAAAAGCAAGTTCAGTTTGGTTATCTGAAAAAGGTATGTATATTGAATAAAATTTTAAGAGGGCATTTAACAAATTTTATCATCAAAGTCCTCCAATTTGCAACATGACTTGAGAAAACAAAACATTTTATTGTGTTTTCAAATTATGTGGTAAAACTCTAAAGTGTAAAATAAGGAATAGATTATTAAAATAAAATAATACATTTACATAAACTCAATTAGTGAAGCTAATAAAATAGTTTATGTCAACTGCTACCTTTACCATTCACTCCAAATGGAATAAACAGATATGAGCAAATCTTCTTTTAGAGGGAACTACAGTATCTCAGAAGACTTATAACTATACTCATACTGATTTTCTCATTTCCCTTTGCTTTAAATTCATAGTAAATATTAAAATACAAAATAAAAAATTACTCTGTTCTTCATCCAGCCTTGATCTTAAAGCTAGGCCATCTGGGGAAAACCCGGGGCCAAACCTGAAAGGTGTCCCTTTACCTCACTGCAGAATTTCCCCAGGCTCCATGCTTGTCTGTGAGAATGTTGATGATTTTCTGGATTAGTTGAGTTGCTGTCACATGGTCTCGATATTTAGCTGCTCTTATCAAATGATCACACATTTTCTCTTCTTCTCGTTTGTCTGCAGAATACTGCGCACAAAGTGACTTGGATAGGAAGGAAAAAAAAAAAAGAAACACTTGTTCATACTATAAAAATATGGGAGAAAAACTAAAAACGCATCAAAAAATAATGTTTAGCATTAACCAAAGCAACCAAAAATTTACAGTTACATTTCTATCATTCTTCAATTGTCTAGGATTTAGTGATCTGCTTTCTTGACATAATATCCCACAAGAATTTACTTCTCTGAAGTCAATCATAAAATACACTCAGAAGTTGTTAATATTGAAGCAGATAACTAAACAATAAGAAGCAGTTAGCCAAGTAAATGCAGGGGCCCAGCATTACAAATGGCATGAAGTGAAGCTGCAAAACTTGAGACATTGAATAAGGAGAATAATGGTATGAAATTAGTTTGGAGAGGTATGCAGGAACAGCATCATTTACGTCATGTAATTACTGTGAGGAATTTAGACTTTATTCTAATGGTATAGGTTTTAAACAGTGAATAAGAGACTGATTTACATATTAAAATGGCCACTATAGCTGTTATTTTGAGAATGAACTGTAGAGACAAGGTAAGTGAAGTGAGAAGACAAGTTATGTGGCCAACTCAGAGGCCCAGAAAAGAAAAAAATTACCTTATAGTAGCAAACTACGCTAGTTTCTAATACATTTAAAAAATGAAGTAGTTGCATCTTTTAAATTCTATTTATAACAAATGGACTAGTAGCACTGGAATCACAGTGAGATTAAAAATGTAGAATCTCAGGTCTCATATCAAACCAACTAAATCAGTATCTGAATTTTAATAAGATCCCTGGGAAATTTATATGTACATTGAAATTTGAAAAGTACTGAGTTATCACTTTTGCCCCCCAAATAGTATGATTCATTAGCAATAAGAAGATAGAATGTAATTTCTATTTTCCAAAAGGTTTATTTCTTTGCAATTTTAATTCAAGTACTTGTGGCATCATGTTTATGATGCTATAGTGAGTATCTTGCTTCAAAGAAGAAAAGATGAAAACATGAAGACTGATATAAATTTGATCCTTTATAGCCTCTATTAGACTCCTGACCTTAACTTCAAGTTCACAAACACACACACACACACACACACACACACACATACATACACACACACACACACACACAAAAAAAAAAAACCCTGTGACAACCTAAATTTGATGTTGGAAGAAATATTATTTTATGTATGTGATATATTTTGTAGTTCCCTGCCTTTCCTGTTGTTTAACAGTCTGAAGAGATTGCTGCCACACACAACTACCATCAGGACTCAGGTATCAAAGAACACTGTGATTATCCTAAACCAATCAGGAAAATAATTACACTGACAAGCTAGCTCAGGGAAGGTTACTTGATGCAACTGTTGCATTAAGAGCAAAGTTGAGGTTTTTGCTGGATACTTTGCTCCTTCCTTTCAGTGTGTACAAGGAAGCATATTACTTCCAGAAGTGCTAAAAGCTCTCTGTACCAAGAGGCAACCTGGTCTGAAAATTAAGCCAAATCTAAAGAGAACAGAACTATGATAATAATAGAAAACAGTCTATTTCAGATGGAATCATGAACTTCTAGATCAAATCCWGAAGAACAACCTACCTTGTAGATATTCTATGAGACATTTTGTTTTAGATTTTTTATAAGGTCCAATAAATTCCTGGTTATTTTGTGCCTATGTGAATTGAGATTTCTTTTCATTCTACCAAAAGAAACTCAAAAGATATGGTGTATATGTACATGCATAAGGAATCAAATATCTCTCAGTCTGTGCAATGCACTATAATACAGGGATCAAAGGATGGATTTAATAATGGAGAAATTTGAGAAGATATTTTACTCTTGGGTGGGAATAAAATGGAACCTTTAAAACAAATTCAAGCCCCCCCCCCMAAAAAAAACATAAATTAATTTCAGGAAAAGGAAAAGTAATACATTTTGACCCAAATACAGTTGAAAAAGTAATATATTAAAGAAATTCTGGAATGCAGAATCATTATTTGTTCATATAAACAATTATACAGTTGGGAAGCAAAACCAAAACAAGATTGCACTATCATCTTGCTGCTATGTGCTGACAGTCTTAGGCAACTACCATATTTACCTCTTTAGGTCTGAATGTCCTCATCTGCAAAATGAGGGGATAATAATAGCTCTAAGAATCTGTCAGTTAGAAATTTGGGGTGACTTTTGAAAGAGCACTTGAACAGAGATGAATACAAGTTCCTCAGAACATTTACACTGGTAAAAGAAAACTATTTTATTTCACCTAAATATTGAAGTGGAGAAAATGAGTCTAATAACAGGAACTAGATTAATTTATCACTAATTAAGTTCAAATATCATATCTATATTTTAAAAGTAAGCATCATGCTAAATAAACCACAGGAGAGCACAACTGGTCAAAAATATGATTTTAAATACTAAAAGAAAGAAAATACTTAAGAAACATCCAAAGGGACAACCATTTAAGTAAAGATAACTAGGGAATTATTTAATTGTAACAGAAATATAATTTCAAATCTGATATTTTCAAAAGTTCATGTAAGAGCCAAGAAACATTCAGTAGGTTACCTCACTTCTAGTCTAACTATACCCCAAAAGGAATAGTGCAGAATGGCAGAAAGATGTCTATACTTTCAACATGCCCTACTGCATCCATAATCAGTCTTTTTCTACCTTTTTCTAATAGGAGGAAATTTAAGCTATTGGTAGAATTTAGAAAATCAGTGGTTTCAGTACTCCTCTGAAACATCACATACAGAACAGTACTAAAATCACCCAGCGAGAATGCACTGAACTGTATTATTTCTATGTTTTACTAATGGTAGACTAATTTCTTTATCAAATTATATTTCATAAACATTTGATAAGCTATTAAAGTTTGCTTGAAAAGGCATAATTCTAAAAACAAGAACTCAAGGTAAGCTAAATAGTAAAATGGTTTTAAAGTGTTCTTTAATGGATCCTCCTTTACAATTTGAACAGCAACTTTTCATATCTGACATAAAATCTATAGATATAAATCACATTAAAGGACTATTCTTTCCTGATTATCAATCTCTGTCTCTTTGTGGAACATTAGAGTCACATTTGACCTTAAAACATGATAAAAGGAAACCAAACAAGAATGTTTCTTAAAGATATAATGAACTTGTATCTATTTCAAAAAAAATATTTATAATGTAATTTGAAGATGCTTTTATTAAAAAACGATAATAAATTCTACACATAACGTATCATTCAATGTCAACTACAAATGAGGAATATTTGTTTTAAGACCAAATGTATATTACTTAGCAAAGGGACACATTCATGTGTGCACTTTGAGTTTGAAGGTTGAACAAAGGTACCCTATGAGACACTACAAAAAACTGCTATATAAAATAATGGCATAAAAAGCATATGAAATAAAGGGTCAGATTTAAACCATTCATTCAACTTTATTTTAGGCAGGATTTCTTACTTTACATTAACTTCTCTATTTTCCTATTTCATGCATCATATAAACCAGGTAATAGAACATTACAATATGACTACAAAAATATCTAAATCTAAAAAAAGAAAAAGAAAAGAAATAAGCACCTTGAGAACAATTCAATTTTTTTTTGCTAAAAAAACCCTAAGATTTATTACTGTAGAATTAACAAAGTAAATAAAAGATTAAATAAACTTCCTTCTTASAAGAAATTCAGTTACAGCAAAAAGATAAAGAATAAATGAAGAGGAAAGCAATTTGGAATGGCCATTGTAATTCAAGTGTCTTTACTAACTACTTAAATGGAAATGAAGAAACAGAGAAAATAGTTTATTTAAATGTATTCATCCAGATCATACAGTTCTATCTAACTTTGCTATTTGTCCTTCGCATGAAAAGTGCAGAGAGGAGTGATCTTAAAATTAAGTAACACTCTTCTTTGTTTCTGTCATCAACCTACCACCCCTCTTGGGGGACAAGCTTTATCCTTTATTATTCTCTATTATGAAATGCTGGTATTTTTCCAAGGCTTTGATAAAATGTTCCACAATAATATCATCCATTCCCACTTTATCTACTATCATCAATTTAGTTCAAGCTTTCAAATTTTCATATCTGATCCAGTTATTTTTAAAAATATAAGCTCATATTTCTATCTGCAGAATAATTTCCACTTGTCTGATAAGCATGTAATATTAAAAATGTACAAACGTGAAGAGGCGACCTTCATCTCAAATGTGCTATTATACTTGAGTGAGAAAGTTCTTGTATTTACTGTCATCTGTGACATCTCAATTATCCTCCATTCACATCCAATTCATTCCATCTTAGCAAAACCTCTTATTCCCTCAGCATGGCTCTTACACAGACCTCTATTAGTTCACAATTCAACTCTAGAAATAATCTAACTGAACTTCTCTGAACTATCCCAGAATTTTTTCTGTTTCTAGAAGAAATTATTTTGGTATTGCACAGATATATCTATATGCTCCATTCCCACCACACCCCCACAAAAAATGCCTGACTATCACAAATATTTGACCAAAAAACTAGGACAAAATTTTATTAGCCAGAACTGGTGACCTATAATTCCACAATGTGGTTCATTACCTTTCTGCACACCTGCCTATTCCAGATACAGTCAAATTATACACCACTTCTCAACTATCCTCCAGACTTCTCATAAGAAGAAGGAAATAAGTTTTTTTCTTTTTAAAAAGGTCTGATGAGAAAGTGATGGCTAGAATTGGAAGGACAAACTACTAGAGGTGAGTAGGCTATGAAGAGAAAAAGATCTAGAAATACAGAGATCTTTTAACTCTTTGCTTGAATTCAGATGATAAAAAAATAAGTAAATTTTTTAAATAATTAGAAATTAAGAAATTTATTTCCAAATAACTGATAAATCAAAGATAGAATAACAATGACACTTAGGGGGGAAAAATCATAGAATCAGCTAGAAAGGATTCAAAGGAAAACATATAGCTTTAAATATTATATTAGAAAAGATAAAAATGCTGAAATCAATATCCAAACTTCTATCTA